TTAAAGATATAGAGATTCATTTTAAACTAGTTGTTAAGTTATTGTGTTGCAAAAGAAAAAAACATTGTTAAGACCATAATAAGAGTGATTAGATCAGCCAACTCAAAATCATTTGTAATAATAAGGGTAGAAAATTTTATAGATGCAAATGATAATATTTGTGTTAGTCTAAGTAGGTTGTTAAAATCTTCTTAGTTTTATATTTGAATAAGCCCTATAAAAAGAGGTTATATTAGATAATCCTTTGATGTCCTTTAAATTCTTTTTAAGAATACAAAAAAAAAAAAAAAAAAAAAAAAAAAAAAACCCTAGGAACATTCAAGGCTAAAGATGAAGAGAAGTTTAGACAATATTTTTCATTGGTAATTGAAGATACCAATTTTTATTTAATAATATTCAACATATAAAAAGATAATCTTTAAAATTAAATATTAATATATCATTATTATCTATTATATATTAGTTACATAATAATACAATAATTAATGAAGTAAAATACAAATTTATGAGTAGTATAAAACTAAAATTATTAGTTTTTGAAAAGCATAGACAACTACTAATCTTCTTGTTTCCAACTATTTGTACATACAACAAGATAAGATATTTTAATTAATCTATCATAGAATATACAAGTGTAACTAATGAACATTGTTGTTCTTAATTTGAATGAAATTTTAATATATTGAATCAAAAATTGCAACATCCAAAAATTAAATGATAGTCGCACTATATTTCAAATTATTTTTATCAATGTATAGCCATTGTCTTTTAGAGTTGTATCATTATAAAAAATATTAACAACATGATCAATAATATTTTGAGAGATGCTTCATTTGGTAAGTTTCAAATCTTTATTTTGAATCAAAAAGCTTGCAAATTTTTTAGAGCTAATAGAGAAGATAATTTGATAAAGATTTATCATTTCAAGGATATAAAGAAGGTTGCATTTTAAGCCAACAACCTTTCAACTAATACACCTTACATCTTACTTATTAATAATAATTTTTTTAAAAAATCATTCAAATTTTAAATTTAAATTTTTTTATTTTAAAATATTGTTAAAAAATATAATATATTTTCTACTGATATTCTTTAACCATAGCTTTAAGGGATCTTGTCAAACCAAATAGTATTAGGATATGTAGATATCAACTTATTACCAATCAATCAATGCCATTTAAATAAGAGAAAAAAACTAACTCAATACATCAATAGAGGCATCAAATTTTAGATTTTTTTAGATTTTTTTTAATTTCTTTTTATAAACATTGAAATAGTCTAAAACAAGACTCATTTATATTAAAATTTATGACTAAATTTAACTATATTTTATTTATTTTTATTGCTTACAGCTCTATTATTTCTTGCCTAAATTTTTTGAATTACATAGATTTCTTTTTTATTTTTTATTTACAATTATTGAAGAACCTCAATATTATGTAATATTTTTGTAGATGTAATTATAAAAAAAAATCTATTAGAAGATCCTCTAATATAGTGTATTTAAGCTACAATCATCTATAAATCTTAATTAGAAGATCCTCCAATAAAATGTAATTATAACTACAATCACTAATAAATCTCCATTTGAAGATTATCCAATCTAATGTTTCAAGCAATTTGCTCTAAGATATGGTTTAGAAAATTAAATACATTCTTGAGTGATATTCTCCAACTATAGTTTCAAAGACTATATTTATCCAATCAAATAGTTTTAATGTAAGTGAAGATCAATCCATTATCAACTATTAAATGACATATAGATAAGACAAGCAAATTAATTCAATACATTATAAGAGCCTCAAGATTTAGGTTTGTTAAGATTTTTTTCAATTATTTTTATAAATAATTAAAGGACTTCCAATAGATATTTTTTGTAATGAAAGGATTATATTTTTTTAATTTTTTATTAGAAACAACTTTATTTTTTTCTTTTAAAAGTAAAAATTGTAATTACTTTTTATTTAATTTTTTTCTAATCTTTGTTGCTTGGAGCCAATAGAAAAAAAATAACAAAATAGAAGTAGAAAATCACTTCAAAAAATAATTAGTTTATGAATTAAATGCATACTATGTTTTGAGCAATATAAAAAGTATTCACCATCTACTCTTGATAGCAGAAGAAATATCAAAGTGCAACTAAGTTCATACTTCCATATTGGAATATGGGCCTCCATGGTCCAAAGTTACTTGAAGAAGGTCATCCAACTCATTCTTCAAAATTGAAGAATAAAAAATAAAATAAAATAAAATAAATAATAATTTCTACTTGAAAACAAATGAAACAAGTGTCGTTCACAACAAAGTTGTGATTTTTACTTTAAAAACCTTAATGTTTTCTTTGCCATCAAATTGCAAGATAATATTGTAAACCTAATTAAGTTCTTATAGTAGACATTTGTAGATTAGAAGACAAGTTCAATAGAGAATTTTTCATGTTTCTTTCTACATTCACAGCTTAATGACATATATTATCATTCCCAGTATATGTACAACTTTACTACCTTTGATGTTAGGCCTTTGACATTAGAATTCTCTAAAATGTTTTCTTCATGAAATCAAAATGGATGGTAACTTTAGACATAGGTTTTTAAAACATGGGCACACTAGCATGTTATCATTAAGCCTAAGCACTTATGTTAAATAAGATTATATATTTTAGCAGATGGTGGTATATATACTAATGGGTTGTTGTGCATATTTGCACCACCATTTACATAAATAAAATCATTTGACTCATTTTAAAAAAAATTAGACATATATCATGCATTTGATGAGTAAATTGCATCATATTTTATTATTTGGTCATGATCAAAAAAGATTTCAACAGAATTTCTATTGAAAGAGGCTTTTAGTGCACAATTGTTTTTAGTTTGTGGCTTTCTAGTTTGCTTGTCTTATTTACATGTCATTGAATATTTGGTAATGGCCATATCGTCATTCAGCAGTCCACTAAGTATCAATCCATTATGTTTGTAAACATTTGTAAGTGACATAATCATTTTTTTTTTAACATCAGGTTCTTACATTTGTTAAAACATTAATGTTGATGCTTTTGATTTCAAGCATCTATGATTTCGATATAGGTGGATAGAAATTAATTTTTTAATTGATTTCAAAATTACTATCACATATAAGAACGTGTTCATATTCTGAATAAAAATCTTTAATATTATATTCATAACATGAAAATATGTTACAAATCAGTATATTATATTAATATGCAGAATCTCAATATTATGTAGTACCTTCTTATACATTTTATTAAAATAATCCTAAATTCTATCTATAATTCCGTATATATATATATATGAACAGATAGAGAAATTTATAAATTACAATCGTTTTTACAAAAAATATTATATTAAAAAACATATAAATTTATTTTAAATACATTTTTTAAAAAATAGCATTTATCAAAAGTTATTTTTATAATCTTTTTTTAAGTCAATTTGAAATTCTTTAGAACTGTCTTTATAGATGTATCATAGATTAAAGTTAAGGGTGACTGTTTGTATATACTTTCATAAAGAAATAAAAAAATAAAACCATACATCAATTCATGTGTACATTAAACCACCTATATGTTAATTCATCTACCAATTATTTGAGGATAGCAGTTATTAAGATTTCTATTATTCAGGAGTAAAATTCTCGCAAAAAATCAATATTCTTGTTGTTTCAAGATTAAAAAGACCAAAGTTTGGTGAAAGTAGACAAAGAAAATTATTTAACATGCTCTAAATAAGAGCGTGCTATGATTGCAACCCATTGCCATATTAAATTTAATCACAACAATACCTGTCTTTTATAGCATGGCAAAGATTGTCTTACATTTCTTTTAGTATCAAACATTAACTTCTTAACTTCTCACCTTACAACATAGCAATAAACAAATCTATTTTGTCTCACTTGCACATGAGTAAAAGAACTGTATATTTTGGCATCAGAATCTTATCTTTGTTGTAGAATTCTTCGTACAAAGAAATTGTGAAATAGAAATTTATGTGTTAATTTATTTAAATTGCATAAAATTAAATTTTACCAACTTTCGAATTGGTTGAATTGAATGATAAAATATATTTTATATGTAGTGATTTTATTTATTCTTTTTACAGTAATCAAGATGCGATTTTTTTAATGTATATATGACTTTACATTATAAATATGGAGGGTATTTTTATATACATTAAAAAAATATATTTTATATGTACTGATTTTTTATTTATAATTTACAATATATACATTACTTTACTATTACCATTGTGTTCTAATGTCGTTAACATTAGCTCACTCTGATAAATTTCTTTGGAAAATTCAGTGAGAAGTTCAGTGAAAAGAGTCACTACATACAAGCTCTACTAATTGTTGTACTCCCATACATACATACATACATCTTTGGAGAAATACGTAACGTATTTGATAATTATGAGAAACCAAAAAAAATTCAAAAATTATAAATAAAAAATCAGTACATTTGCTACACAGGATACACAATTAGCGTGGCATGAACTTCACTAAAAGCAAAAGGCAGGGGAAAAAGAAAAAAGGCCCCCAGGCCAACACCAGACCAGAAGGCGACTTGAATGAACGGATGAACGCCGACGAATGAAAATAAAACGTACAGACACAAACGAAGAGACGAGCGTGGATGAATGTAATTGATGAATGTGGATGAATGAAGGGCGATGCTGGGTGGTTGGATCAGGGGAAAGAGGTGGCGGAGAGAATGGGGACCAGCCAGTGATCGGAAAGGGGGAGAAGGGGAGCAAGGGGATTGATCGAGCGAGGGAGAAGAGTGTGTATGCGATTGACGCAATTGACGCTGCGGCGGCGTCGAATGTTGAAGGATCCCGTGCAAAGCTGCTCGTCAATGCAAAGGCGTGGACTGCCTACCCAAAAGCCCGCCCCTTCGGGTCAACCTTCAACTAAAGCGGCCTCTTCCCGGCCCAAAAACATTGTGTGCCTACGCTCCCACCCACCCACCCATCCCTTAATATCACCCAATCATGCCCTTCCCTCACTCTCAAGCTTGCAGATCGACGTCAAGCAGACCCAAAACCATCCCTGGCTGATTGTCTTACAGCTGACGCATTCGCATTCATTCGCCTCGGTGCGTCGTGGTCTCACAGTCTGCAAAACAGAGCCACTTTGCGCTTTTTTGTAATGATGGTCCAGTCTGGGTTTTATTGAGGATTCGGGGTCGACTTTTTATTTTTAGTCGTGGGATTGCGCGGCGGAGGGTTTCCATGTGGGTTGTCTAATTTTGGGTCTTGGCACTGTTGCTGCTGTGAGAGATCCGAGCAGGTTTGCTTGACTCGCTGTTCTTAAGTTCTTTTCTATTGTGGGGAGGGGGCGAATGAGACGGGAAATCATTGTATCCGCAGAGTTCGTGATTTCGGGAGGTGGCTGTGAGTTGGATTGACAGCCTTCAGGGGGGCTTTAGAGGCTGTGGTTCACCCAGAGGGTTTTCCAGCTTACCTGCTTGCTTGAGACCCCTTTTCTCATCGTTGCATCGCATTGATCCCAGGGTCTGCACTGCGCTGCGTACCTACCCAAATTGTCTCGTGGCTGTGAGCGCGCGTGTTCCCGTGTCTTTGCTTTGGCTGCGTTTGTCAGAGAAGGCTGCTGTCATAGAGCCAGGTTTTGATAAACTCTTTCTCGGGATTACTTGAGAATGCCCCTGTTTTCATTGAAGAATGTTCATGGACGCGAGAGCTGCAATGAGCTCAAGCACGGGAATGTAATCCAGAAGGGTTGTTTTCGTGTATTGAAAAGTGTTGCTATTTGATGGAAGTGCCTCTCGATGATGATTGTTAACACTCCAGGCTCTAGTTGGTGGCTGTTAGCCGCCATGGCTGACTGTGATTTAGTTTTGCTGAACTCTTTTGCTATCTTTCCGTGGTTTGATGAAGGATCCGTGAGGAGGGAGGGTAGTCCAAGCCTACGCTTCAACCGGATATAGGAGGTTGTTTTCTTGCGCATCGAGCTCAACCTTGCAGGCTGCTGTCATGACGACCACCACTTACACGGATATGGTCACTTTGCTCAGCGACACGCTGCAAACAGACGACGGACACTCCAGAGTTTCGAAAACGAAGATTGTTTGCACTCTGGGCCCCAAGTCAAGAGAAGTGCCGATTCTGGAGAAGCTTTTGAGAGCGGGCATGAACGTTGCCCGCTTCAACTTCTCCCATGGTACGTTCGAGTATCACCAATACACACTGGATAATCTTCGGCAGGCGCAGCTGAACACGGGGATCATGTGCGCGGTGCTTCTTGACACAAAGGTAAGCTGAAGTTTTGGGCTTAATCCTGTCTTGCGCTCCTAGAAGCTTGGCGTGGACGTTTGTTTGCAGATGTTGATTATCAGCAGCTGACGAGTGATGGTTCGCATGAATTCGTTTCAGGGACCGGAGATCCGAACCGGGCAACACAAGACGGGGAAGCCTATGAAGCTCATCCGCGGCAAGGAGATATGGATTACCACGGACTACTCTCATTTGGGGGACGAGCATATGATTTGCATGAGCTATCCGAAGCTGGCGGAGCACGTATCGCCTGGGACCGAGATTTTGTGTTCGGACGGAACCATCACCTTCACGGTGCTAGAATGCGACGTGGCAAGAGGAATGGTGAGGTGCAGGTGTGAGAACACAACCATGCTCGGGGAGAAGAAGAACGTGAATCTGCCTGGTGTCGTGGTGGACTTGCCGACCATTACGACGAAGGATACTGATGACATTGTGCAATGGGGCATTCCCAACAAGATTGATTTCATCGCTGCTTCATTCGTGAGAAAAGGGGAGGACGTCAAGAAGATCAGAGCGCTTCTTGGAAGCCACGCAAAAACGATCCAGATCATCTCCAAGGTACACATTTTTTGATTTCGCCGACCTCGAACATTCAAGGGTTGTTTTTATTTGCAACTTTTTAATGTTGGAGCTGATTTTGTGAGATCTGGAGTCGTTTGAAAGGTGGAGAATCAAGAAGGATTGGTGAACTTCGACGATATCCTTAGAGAAACCGACGGCATTATGGTAGCCAGAGGCGATCTAGGGATGGAGATTCCCACCGAGAAGATCTTCCTGGCGCAGAAGATGATGATCTACAAGTGCAACTCTGCCGGAAAGCCTGTGATCACTGCGACTCAGATGCTGGAGTCCATGATCAAGTACCCTCGTCCCACTCGCGCAGAAGCCACAGACGTGGCGAATGCTGTGCTCGATGGCACCGACTGCGTCATGCTCAGTGGCGAAACTGCGAATGGCTCTTACCCTGACCTTGCAGTAAGGATTCCCATGCCCAGAAACCACTTTTTTGCGGCTAGCGTACTGAAAGCAAACTTCCAATCACTTTTTATCATACAAGAGCCCTCCGATTCAGCTGATTCGATGTCGTGTTTGTGCAGGTGGCGGTGATGTCCCGCATCTGCCAGGAAGCCGAGGCCTCTCTCGACTATTCGGCCATCTTCAAAGAGATCATGAAGTCGGTCCCACTGCCCATGAGCCCGTTGGAGAGCTTGGCTTCATCTGCAGTGCGGTGTGCGAAGAAGGTCCGAGCGTCGCTGATCATCGTCCTCACGCGCGGCGGCACCACCGCCAAGCTGGTGGCCAAGTACCGCCCTTCGGTACCCATCTTGTCCGTGGCAGTGCCGGTCTTAACCACCGACAGCCTCACATGGGAGATCAGCGAGGAATCTCCTGCCAGACACAGCTTGGTCTGTCGCGGCCTCCTGTCGCTGCTCGCTGAGGGGTCCGCCAAGGCCACCGACTCGGAATCCACCGACGCTATCCTCGGCGCGGCTCTAGATCACGCCTTGAAGCGGAAGCTGTGCATTGTTGGAGACTCTGTTGTTGCGATCCACAGAATCGGCGCCGCGTCTGTTATCAAGATCGTCGAGGTCAAGGAGAAGGTAGTCAAGGTGGCGGCATGAAGACGAGGGGCGAGTGCATCGTCTCGACTGCACCCAAATCCGTAATTAGTTTATACCAAGGTTGAGCAATTAATACAGGAATTATTTTCGCCGTTTATGGCAGCGTATGGATGTATTATAGCTCGTTTTAGTAAATTTCTTCTGGAACATGCTTCAACAGCGGGAACTTGTACTTTCTCCTGCTCTTCGAGGTAGGATTTGTTGAAGCGAGTTTCGGAGTATTGAGCGCGTCCGAAAAATGTTGAAGATATGTTCGATAGCGTGCTAACAATCGCCACGATGATCTTTCAGAAGGAAAAGCAATCGAGAAAAGACCAGTTCTTACAACCAACCTGATCCATTGCATAAAAAAATTAGCCAAAAACTTCGTTTTTAACTCTGGAACCAGAGATGTCTGTTCCTACCCAATCGGGGTTGGTTTTGGTGGATAACAATGGTGGTCACCCTGCATGCACCATACCAGGTACGAGTGCCGTTGTTTGCTACTCGACCTTATCCATGCATGGACTTTTACGGATTTTTATTCTAGTTCATATTACGTTAGCAGCCTTTCGGTACAAAAATAGCTTCAAAATCACTATGAACGCCTGCTCATTGTCCATCCTCCAAACGCCAGATACTATATTACACGACAACCATTGTACTTTAAGACTAAAGGTCTTATAGTCTTCGCACTGATCAAACCGATGACCGGCGCATCTCCTCCCATATACAAATGAAAGTTTCCATAAAGTCATCTTCATCAAAGCTGAATGCCTCTACGAGGGCTGCAAACCACTGCATGTGTAAATGAGGCAGACCCTCCTTGACGAGGGCAGCATCAAAAGCGGAGGAAATTTTTGTCTTGATTGCATTACTGGCACATTCAGCTGAGCGAACCAGTGAGGGCGGAAGCCCTGCAAGCGTTGCAACTTGAAGCCCGTAGCTCTGCTGACAGACACCCTCCGTGAGTTTGTACAAGAATACAATCTCCTGCTCGCCAATGGATTTTCCACTTTTGTAATCGGACTGTAGCAGAGAACATGCCATGTGCCGAAGTCCAACAGAAGGATGAGAAGCAAACTCGGTGGTCAAAGCATGGTAGTGCGTAGCAAAAAGTAGCCGGCAATCCAGGGTATCAACAACATGCCGAAGCACCTGAAACCAGACGACAAAAAGAAGGTATTTCAATTTCCAAAGATTTTCAAAAGTAGCGAGCTTCAGTGCAATAAATTTCTGAATTGTCAATGGGAACAAACGATCGAGGATGAGTATTCGCAGAGAACCAAAATAGAACGGAAGCCTCGTCTCGAGTGAAGAAATATACTGTTATTAAATATCATTTACGAAAAATAACAGCCCTGAAGAAAAACCCATCTTACCGCATATGCAATGGCATAGCCATCAAATGTTGAAGTTCCACGACCAAGCTCATCCAACACTACCAGAGAGTTGTTGGTTGCGTGCCTTAATACAGAAGCAGCTTCTGTACACTCCACCATGAATGTGCCTGCCAAGGAGTGTAGATCTTATTAGATTTACGAAAATTACAAAAGCAAAACAAGTCTTGAAAGGCTAAGCTCCATACGCTGAATGTTACATGAGTATTCAGCAAGTTTACCGGAGTCATACATCAGTGAAGTTCTCTCTGTAGCATGATATTGGGTCAAGCACAAAGGGGCTACAAAGAACTGCTATTAACTTCTCTGTGGGCACAAACTTAATAATGTAGTACTCATGCCAAAAAACAATCTCCTTGGCACCAAATAATTAGACTCAGGTTGACAAGATTCACAAAGAGTTGATACTCACTATGTCCTTCCATGATACGATCACTGGCACCAAGCCGAGTAAAGATGGTGTCTACTGGGGAAAGCCGGCAAGAATTTCCAGGTACAAAACACCCTAGCTGCACAAGAGAACTTTTGAAGTGAGAAACACATCAGAGTCATTAACATTTCACCTGTAACACGAAGACAGTCAATGATATATTGCAGAGAGAAGGGAAACCTTATGCGTATACCTGAGCCATTATAACAGCCAGGCATGTTGCCCTCAGTAAAGTAGACTTGCCGCCCATGTTTGGACCAGTCAAGAGCATTGTTCTAGGATTGACAGAGGATTCCTTGCGAGTTGTTCCAAGCTCCACATCATTAGGTACAATTACACCTCCATTTCCACCAGAACCATATGGATGCCAGAGGCCCTTGATATCAAGAATAGAACCTCCAAGACCAACATTGTTATTTTGTACAAACTGTGGTCTACATGTAGGTCCAGCTGCAATTTTTGAAATTGCAGCAAAACTGATTAAAATATCCAATCGCGCAAGGGTTTCAACCGCCGCTTGCCATAGCTCACTATGTTCGTTGAAGCTAAGCATGACCTTCATCAAACTCTCCGCTTCTTTTTCCAAGGCAGACAGTTCATCACTATCGCTATCATTATCATCATCTGTAGCTCCTCCCTAGACATAGAAATATGCAGTGCAAGCGTCAGTTAGATAAAGGTTCTAACCGAAGGTGTGTGGTTGGTGAAATAGAAAGATTCAAAAATTGTAGTTCAAAGGGCTAAAATATATTACATAGAAGTCAAAAGAAAGTTTTGTAAAACTACATATTCCAGGTGATAGGTAGTGCTTTTTAGACATGACATCTCACCTTTGAATACAATTTGATAGCACTTGAACTTCGATCGATGCAACTGTCAATAGCTTCAAGGGTATCCAAAGCAGCATTCCCATCACCTAAAGACATTGCAGCCTCCAATAGACGCGCTTTTGGAGGACCCAACCCATCTCTACAAGACTGTAGCTTCTCCAGTAACTCGAAACCTCCCCGTAATGCTTGAACAGCTTCTCCAAAAGTTTTCATCTATAGGTGTACAAAAGCCATGTATCAAGGGAAAGTACCAAAAAGCACGCACAAATGACGAAAAATTGCATGCCCCGGATCGATATTAAACCCCAAGTAGGCCGTTGTGCGACATCCACGCATTTTGTCACTGTAAATTCTATAGCACTTCAAAACTGCAATCAAATAAGTCAATACCACATAAAAGGAACTATTGAATGATCGGGAAAAACATCCTTACCCGCCGTTGGTGTACTTTTTTAGCAGCCATAGGGACAACTCCAAGATTTGAAGACCCCGCGAGTCCTCTAACCCGGGCAACCAATCTTTCAAGATCAGGTAGCACACGCAAGTCCTCCCTTATCAAACAAGCCATCTCCTCACGACTTGAAAGCTCCTCCACTGCATCTAAACGATCATTGAGCTCCGCTGTGTTTTGCAAAGGATGGCAGATCCAACGCCTTAACATGCGCTTACCAAATTTGGTCACACATTTGTCCAAGTAATCAAGCAATGTACCTGAAGTAGAAAGTAAAAACCACGAGTCATAAATTTCGTCTGTAACAGATAGTACTTGTCAAACCTAAAGTTATAACTAACAGGTCACCCACCATTGCTTGCTAACTTTTGATCATTAATGATGTACAACAGTTGAAAGAAAAATTAAGCAGAAATCACCAAATGCTAGAAACATACTTAAGAAGATTGGTACCCTCTTACTGTAAACAGTCATGTTACACACGGGCCGGGAACAAAATTCTCAGTGATAAGCGCATGGCTACAGAAGTGTCTTGATGAAAGTATACTGACCTGCTCGTGATCCATCATCCTTATTCTCAAGAAGTTCAAGGTTTACGATGGATTGTCCATCAAGTCTAAGTGATCCACGAAATACTTCATAAGAAAGAAGAACACCATTTGGTAACAACTCATCGTTCACCTGCCCCCAACCATAACGCGATCAAGTTTTAAGCACCGATTAAAAAGAAGCTCACAGATTCAAGAAAAATTTACTCGAAGTAGACTCCTGCTGAAGGATGTTCCCATGGCTGATGGTTAAAACCCAAAGTTTTGGCAACAAGAAAACAAACAGCCACTTAACATCCACAGGTACGTTATTTGAAACTCATTAAATCACAGTAAGAATCTCACTTTCATCCGTGTCAAATGTGCAACAAGAGCTCCGAGAGCACTAGCAGCCAGATGCTTGTTAGTTAAAATCTCCAGAGCTTCTGGCCATGGACCCCTGAAATCACCTGAACTACCACCTGAACGGAAGTATTTCTTATCCTTCATCAGCTTCATCGCAAAGTTTGCCTCCTGGAATTCATCCGTCAGAGGCGTCATCATAACGGGAAGCTGGCCTGTAAACAATGGTAAGGTTAGTGACTCCTATACATAGTAGATTCATCCCATCGAGACCAAAATCTGCTGATCATATTCAGAGATGTTACCTGGAGTGGTCCGATGGCGAAGCAGCTTTAACGTGTCATTAGAGACCGCTGCAACAGCAAAGAATCATATGAGGTTTTTCTTTTCAGCTATTTTTAATCTCCTCAGAAAGGATATTAAAAGCGAAGAAATACAGCACTGTGAATACACAACACCGCAAACTTTAGACAGTGTACAATACCTCCCAATTCGTATAGAATTTCTTGAGGAGCAACCTGCAAAAGCAACACGCAATTTGTTAGTTTTTCTAAGTTATGTTGTCAAAGTTGAATTAGGACCAGGAAGTGATACATACTAGACGAAGCCGACAAGGTGAAGAAGAACAGCTACAGAATTTGCATTATACAATCAGAAAATGTGTACACAAGCAAAGTACCTGAGCTAGAAGCGACTCCAAGGCTGAACGTGAGCAATCATCGTTGATCGTTCCAACGTAAAACTTGCCAGCTGCAGCATCTACAAAGGCAAACCCGATAGCTACAGACCCTTGGCTCAATGCATTGTCGTGGGGCCCATCCAAAGTATCCTGGCAACATGTAAGATGAAGTAATCAAATTAGAAGATACATCCAACAAAACATCTAAATAGTCTTAAGAATAATAATGCATGGCAGGACTGCTTAGACAGAGGTATAATTGTGCTATTTTTCCAAGAAAGTACAGCTTGGATAAACGGCTGTCAACCAAGACCTTACCTCCCTCAAAGCAAGAAGGTGAACAGCTTCGGGACGCAAATTTCCATCAAGCCTGGTCGAAGGAGTAACGACGTGGGTAAGGTCACGCTGAACCATCTGTGATCCAAGTAGTGGCCATCAGTTTCAAGGATTGATGCGTCATACTCTCGATCAACAATTAATGAACACACCATATACTTTACCAGAGAACATACTTTAAAAAATCCATTGTTTCTACAAATCATAAAACTGTGGAATTGAGACAAACATTTGACCAAGGCTGAAGCACCGGAAAAACCTGATTCTATAATGTGTGTGTCTGCAAGAATGAAGAAGTTTGTTTCACATCCACACAATTAAAAGTCCACTTTTCTTAAGTTTACGAAACAACTACCACCTAGATTTCCGGATTGCTTCACTTACCCCACCTCCACGCTGCTTGGCTTGCTCAGATGTCTCAAGTTGCTCTACTCTTCCCACTTTGTACCTGAAAAACATGATAGATAAAGGTAAGATTTAGCGTTTTCGTTTACACAACCAAAAGGACGCCCAGATAGCTCCTACGCAATATAGCTCACGCTGCAAAGAAGCAGTGTCAAAGAGGTTTACCCCCGAGCAACCAATTTCTGAACAGCGTCATCAATCCCGCTTTCTGGAACGCCAACCTGACATAAAAGAATCCCGAACGTGTTGGTATAACTCAATCCTGTATTCATTTGAATGTATGCTTGGAAACACAAGATGAACAAAACAAAGTACACCTAAACTAGACAAGCCGGGTATGATCACAACATACACACGTCAATCTAGACTAGCACAGATCAAATCAAAACCAGGTTTCAAGGAATTTTGCACGAAACTACAATATACACGGAGTAACCAGCTGCCATCATTACTTGAAATCGAACATTCGGCTTTACTATGGCGCATGCAAGTGCTGATGCAGATGTGTTTGAAATCAATTCCTAGCATGCTACAAACATAAAAGCAACTCAAGCCGGAAAAACATTTCTAATGAAAAACAGAGATATGAGATGAAATTCAAAAAGAAGAAGAGAAGAAACTTACACCTCAGATAGTTTTTTTAAAAAAGTGGCAGCCAGCATGCTCACCTGTCTACATTTGCCGACGCCACTAAGAGTGAGCTTCCAGTCCATTTCCTTCTGTCCAATCTCTGCGTCAAATTCATAGAGCTCGTAGAATTTGCCCTGTCATCGATTACAGAAACAAAGTCCGTAGCGATTATTAGGTTCAGAATCGCATAATGTGATCATTTTGGTAATGAATCAGTTGCGCAAAAGCATAACCAAAACTTTCACGAAGTTACACGGTATATTTACCACTTTGAAGAAAAGCACGGTATCCATATACTTGCTCTTCGCCGTCCAGTACTGTCTTTGTGAGGCTGTCATTTTCGACAAAACATCAGGAGGGATGTGCAAGGTTCTCTTGTCGTACAGTGGGTGATCAGGTCTTCTTCCCATAGCGTCTTTGATCTTATTGGGCAGCAGCCACTCGAACTTAGCTGCAGCAGCTGCCCACTTGCTTCCCTGCGGAAGCCCTTCCTCTACTCCTAACACATCCATCAGCTTCCTTCTCTTGTTTGAATCTGAAGTTGAGTTACAAGTTCCACCGGGAGAATCACCTTGCGACACCTCATCTTGAACGCGTTTGAGTCGAGGAATAAATGGTCTTGAAGTTGCACCATTTAAATCTGAATCAGGAGGTTTTGCAACAGTGAAGGCAGAGGCAGGAGGTTTTACAACAATTGAGGCAGTCGCAGGGGGCTTAAACTTGGACCATAACGCCTCTTTCGAGTTTTTCAGAGGAGTAGATTCGAGATTTGGACTGCAGAAGCACACACATAACTGAGTTTCATGCTCGCAGCACTTTAGACTGAGGTGGTTACGTCACAAGAATTCGTAACAATAATATAATGAAACATGTGAGCTAACCGCTAGGGTCTTTACATATGTTCTAAATAATGGAATCCTCAACAGAAGCCGAAAGATTTCTAATTAGTCTACCGTAATTAGAAGAAAAAAAACGTAGAAATTTACAACATAAGGGCCCACTAGTAAGCATCTCGCAATCCTATACACTTGAAGCATTGAAATGTATCAGTCTACAATGCACCAGGCTCACAAATCAGGTGTAGAGATTACTCTGTCCAAAGAATTGATCTTACCTGGACGCAGGTGAACCACTACTTCCAATGTTATCCTCAGAATATTGAGTGCTTTTTGTGATGGTATTCTCTGACTGCGCATGCTGCTGCCTAAACTCTATGGAATTCGCTTGCTTCTTGCCGTCTATACCGTGCAAAGGAGAACTTGAGGAGCTCCCTCTCGAGGGACCCTCTTGACCTTTTTTAAAGAATGAAAACAGATTTCGTTGCTGGGCCATGACTCCTTACAGCACTGGTTTCACCTGTATGTAGTTAAAGCAATAAGTTCGAACGCTGTGCCATGCAGCTGTAAAAAGCTCTGAAATGAACTCTTCAAAGCACCAAATTGACTTCAATTAATAATGAACAAAGTCATTCTAATGGTAGACCAGGGTGGAAAAGTAGCAGCATCACTAATGTATTCGGTTCAGGGTAGACTGAAGAAGCCCCGTGAACACATCAGGAAGTTAGATTTTTGAGTTGCTCTAGCCACGATTTTATATCTGATCGGGAACCAGTCTTCAAGAAACTTTAAATTCAACCGTGGTGTGACAAAATGCTCTTGATGGTTCGACCAAAAATAGAAGGAAGAATTGAAGTCTCACAACGACCGTCTAATAAAACACCGGAGGAGATCACACTTTGTCGTGTAACACAAGTACAAGATGTGCACCAGCGACCATTTAAAGCCCTGAAGTTCGTAACAGTATCTCTTCCTATTCAGAAATTCCAGGAATGCTCACAACCAAGACACAAACACGGAAAAGGAGAATTCATCGCATACTCCGGAACACTTTCAAAAATACTTAACGTGTCTCTAGCACTGCCTCCTCAAAACAGCACGGCAACGATCAAGGAAATAAAAGTCGCTACAACCTACAACGGATCACCGAATGCACCGAACACAGGTCGCCGCAAAGGCTCTTCCAAACTCACATCTCAGCGAACTAAGCAGGGAAAATGGATCATAACCAGCTGATTCAGCTCGGTAAAGAAAAAATCGGAAGGAAAATCTTCCAGCACGAGACAAGCATCCACTCCAAACGCAACGAACCACCAACTCACAGACGCATCACTCATTCCCTTCCGTAGGCAGCGCGAAGTGACCTACCGCCCAGAAGATTCTAAAAAACCAAGCACCTAAGCAATTCGCAGCGGATCAGTCCAATTCGCAGTTCGATTCCTACTCTGCTAGAAAACAGTTACGTAATCCTCAGCTCCATGGAAAAATCGAAACCAATTCGTCACACCAAAATCCTCCTTCGCGGCAGTTGAACGGTAAGTGATTTGGACTTGGGAAAGGCGGGAGCAGAAATCCAGAGCAAGTGCGCCAAACCTCTCACCGAGCTTGCCGAACCTGAAACCAGAGCTAATTAGGTCTGGAACTCGAGGCTAAATGGGCTCTGCTAAATGGGCTGTGCCTTAGCTAAATGGGCTCTGCTAGATGGCCTCTGTCTTGGCTAAATGGGCTCTGCTGAATGGGCTCTGCCTTGGCTAAATGGGCTCTACCTCGCCGACGACCATGTCCGTGAAGCTTGCGGTGAAGGATTCGACGGATTGTTTTGGAGCACTCAGTTCATGAGGTTGTTGCGGCAAATCTGCGCATGGAATCGCATGCAACGAGCCTGGAGTATTGATTATTCATGCTTCGGATGACAGAGTTGGTTTCCGTTTGTATCGTAGAGTTCCCAGCAGTCTGCTGCCTGGCTTGCATTAAGAGAGTGTCGCGGTGGTCTACAAATCAAACTAGGATTAAGAAATTAGCATGAAATTACAGTATGCATTGCGTAGGGGCGGATTTTTCTTTCTTTCCAGGGAAGATGCCACTGCCTCTTGCTATTCGTACGGTATTTGAGGGATAACATGGCGCACGACGTGCTCGAAAATTGTCTGTCAACGGAATTGTAATGAAGTTTGCCACTCTTAATGCCATTTGTTAGTTGCGAGCTTTTTTCAGACGTCTTTGAGCGATGAACAATCTACTTCGTGTCTGAAAGCCTACTCCAAGAAGTCTGCTGCGTGCTCGACAAGATTTGTGAGCCGTGTTCTAGTGCGCTCTGCAGCAATACAGTTTGGAAATCCATTGAGGCAAGAATTAATCGGGGTTTTGTAGCCGAATCTTCTATTATGATCAATTAGTTTGACAGTTTCCAAGCGTTCTGAACATCAAATTAGTTAAGTTAGTGCGATGAAGGCAGTGCAGAGTCGGAAGGAGCTGCTGCAAAGTAACGTCGGTGTAATTCTCGATGAGGTGGATAAAAAGTAGAAGTGTATTTTGAGCATGTGAATTGTCATAGTGTGTCGATGCATGCATCGTCGTGAACACATTCTCCCCAGGAAACCGTTAGCGTCCGCCAAGCCCTCATGCTGTGGGTCCAAGAGTTGAATATTCGACCAGCTTTCATAGCTCCATGTCCGAAACTAGAAGTGGCTCAACTCGAATGCGTTTTCCAACATCTCCTGCTCGCTGTCAGAAGCGTAAGTGACAAAACATAAGCTGCTGCTAAAAAGACATTTTCTTTGAGAGCTAAAGCCACTCTTGTTCGTTGACCCGTTTCCCAACATTCTCATGGCTAACTTGCCTTTTGGTGAAAACAGCTTCAGTCACACCGTCTATATACATACATGTATAGGGAATTGTTAATGCTACATCTCTAATTGATATTGTTACAACCTAGGATTGGTCAACTTGCAAGATCAAGGAGCAACACCCATGCAAAGTTCTTAGAAAGAAAAAAAATTGGACTTTGTTTATAAAACTTGATTTTAAATTGAGGAGGTTCTTTTTTGGAACCCTGGTCTCCAAAATTGTCTCTTTCACATCTTCAAACTATAAGAACAAATAAGGACATTTTGCCCAACTTAACCACATCTTCTACATTTTGTTTATCTAACCGTACAATTATCCACAATCTCAAACAACAAAAGATCCCATTGTGTAGATAATATTGGTATAGTGTAGAAAATATTGGTATACAGTTCAAAGCTCCAAGAAGATGTACTCTTGACTAAAAAGAGATTATATTATTTAGAGCTCAAAACCATTGCAATGCCAAATAGATTAGTGTTTTTTGTGTTGTTATATATTGATATAGATTAGAGTGGAATAGGTGTCAATAAGCAATCTGACAATTGAAGTAATTGCAAGTATTCTATATGTCAAGGGAAGAGGAACAATGGGCTATGGAGGTAGAGGATGTAGGTGCCATTGATGATGGAAGTTGCCAATACACAATCTATTATCTTTTACAAGGCACATTTTGCATTGTATACTTGCAAGGTATTCCAAATGAGGTGGTAAAATGTCCAAAATATGCCTCTTTTTCTCATGTTCTCTTAGAATGTAAGGCATGGATCTTTGAGAATTCAAAACACAATATTTTTCTTTATCATTAGATTGTAATATTAATCACTAAAATCCACCCAAAGTCATATCTTTTCGTCTCTAATTTTTTTCTTCAATTTCTTATCTTGGTAATAAAGATACATGGTGATCCAATGATAAACATTGTAAAAATCAAGTGTCAATACTTGAAGCTATTGTTTCAATGCCAAGTGACCATTTTCTATATAAAAAAATGTTTATGTTGCCAAAGTAGAGATGTTAGAGGACCAATATGCAATAAAGTGCTTCTTTAAAGGTATATAGGTTGTGGGAATGTAAATAATAGCATTTAAGTGACCAATCGTATATTATGTCCTAAATCTTTTCTAATTATTATCAAAGGCTTTTGTTATAAAATTTCCTATGACTTAATTCTATTTTTGCAAGAAGATTTTTTATTTGTTGAAAATTTGTATTTATAATGCTCTAAAATATTCTTATTGATGTGCCAAATATATAATAGATTATAGATGATGAAAAAATGGTTTGCAATGAAGACATGAATACAAGTTTGTAGTTACTTATAAAGATCTTTCATATGATTTCATCAACAAAAAGGTTTTGTACTTGTTCAAAAGCTCAAAAGTCAAAAGTCCCTTTTATTTCTTCATTCAAAAAAAAAAACTAAAAAATAAAAAAAAAATAAAATAAAATAAAAAACTAAAAAAAAAACTAAAAAAAAACTAAAAAAAAACTAAAAAAACTAAAAATATATATATATTATTATGTTTACAATATATAGCAAAGGCATACAAAAATTTGTTGGTCTTGTAGGTGCAATCAAATTTGAAGACATAATGATAGTGTCACGAATTTAGAATATTGACGGAAAATCTAAAGAAGAAGCTCAAGAAGAATCGACAAGAACTAAATTAATCAGATGAGTACAAGAACAACACTAGAGAGGTGAGCTAGAGCTCCAAGAAGTGTGTTGTCGAGAATGAGGATCCCTTCAATCTCAGCTCCTATATATACTAGAAGTTAGGAAGCTTCTCAAGTAGCTTCTACAAGTAGCTTCCTCAAGGGCTTAGGTTTTTGAAGATAGTGTCAATGAAACTCTTGTATCTTATATGACGTATTGATAAGATTTTCAACTAGTTCCCATGTGTGCTCATTGATATCATAGCCGCTCCAATGCACTAGGTACTCCAATTTCTCCTACTTATACTACAAATCTAGTATCTTTTCCACCTTGTATTCCTCGTGGTTCTCAATTTCAATACCAGGTGGCAGACATTGCACTCTTCCACGAAAAGACAACTCTCGATAAGGCTCCAACAAAGAAACATGAAAGATTGGGTGTACCTTCATAGCAACTAGTAATCCCAGACGATACGCCATTGGATTCATTTGCTTCTAGATGACAAATAGTCCCAATCTTTGGTAGTCCAACTTATCACATGACTGCTTGGTTTTGATATTTCGTCAAAGCACCCATATTTTATCTCTAATTTTGAAAGTAGGTACCTAATTCCAAAAAATTTCTGCGAACGCCTTATAAGCTTCTTGGACGGTTTGCAATTGAAGCTTCAACGTAGTTTGAAGCTTCGATAGTTGTTTCACAAATTCTTCAACTGTCTGGTTGTTATTGGTTGATGGACTCGATAATTCAAGCTTCGGATGATATCCATAGTTTAAAAAGAATGGTATTTATTGAGTTGACGCATGAAGGATGTTGTTATATACAAACTAGACTAATGATAGATATGCAGTCCAATCATCTTGCTGATAGTTGATGTTGTATCATAAATACTGCTCCAAAGTTTGATTCACTTGTTTCGTTTGGCTGTTAGTTTGAAGATGGAAAGCCGAAAAAAGCTTGATATCCACCTTTAATATGTCAAAGAGAGATCTCCAGAACTTTGATACAAATTGGATTCCTTGATCCAATATGATATCATCTGGTAAACCATGATATTGATACACACTATCAACGAAGAGCCTTGCTGTGTCTTTGTTTGACGATGTTTTCTTGCAAGGGACAAAGTGTGTCATCTTTGTAAGCCGAACTATCACAACAAAGATTCTGTTAAATGAATTTGATGGCCACAGGTCCATAATGAAGTCCATAGAAACTGAAGACCATAGTCGATGTGAAATATGCAATGGCTAAAGAAGATCATAAGGATGATGTCGAGGATTTTTGGATCTTAAACAAATATTAAAGGAGAGGACAAAATCCTTGACATCCTTCCACATTTGGAGCCACCAAAAATCTCGAGAAATAAGTTCCAAGGTCTTATTGAATCCAAAATATCCCCCAGTTGGAAAGTCATGTCGAGATTGAAGAATTCGGAGTCGTGCTAGTCCCTTTGGAATATACAATTGCTCCTCAAAGTATAAAAAATCTCCTTCCACCTTGAATTTGTCATTATTGATATGTTGCGTGACATCGAGGGCTACGAAATCTCCAATAGTCGTAGTACGTACCTAGTTGAGGAAGTTAACATCAATTAATACTATAGCAGAGCAAAGCCTAAATTATTTCGACTTCAACAATGTTATATATTGTTGATCAAACACTGCTTCTCTAACCTTTGGTACTAGATATGATCTCTTTGATAATGCATTGGATAGTCCTTGTTGCTTTCCAAGGTGATAAGTAATAAAAAAGTCAAACTTTGATAGCAACATATTCCATCGAGCTTGATGATAATTCAGAATCTGAGCCGACATGAAGTACTCCAAATTCTTGCAATCCATGTATACAATCATCGGATGTGTAGCTGCTTCGAGAAAGTGATGCCACTCTTGAAAAGAATCTACTATCGCAAGAAGTTCTTTACCGTAGATCTCATAATTGATCTCGGTAGCACAAAACTTTCGAGAGTAGAATACAACCGGATGAAGCTTCTCGTCTATGCCTATCTGCAAAAGTACAGCTCTCATAGCAAATCTGAAGCATCAGTCTCCAAATAGAAGGTTTTTGCAAAGTCCAGATGTATCAAGATTGGAGCCATAGTAAATGCCATCTTAAGATCTTGAAATGCTTT